TTAACCGAGCTAATTGCTACGTAGGAAGGAAGTTGAGAACAAGAGAGTAATAGAATCTGCACTTTATCATGCATACCTTATGAAAGAATGGAGGAGCCTTTATATAGGCTTTGGGGTCCGGGTGAGGTGCTGAGATATACGGGGCAGTAAGCCTTATCGGTCCATCATCCCCGAAGTGCATTCTATCAGCGTTGGTTATGATCCTTATTCGGTTCCTCGTGAAGCGGGCGGAAAAGAGGATCATCTTCGCCTAGTGGGTGACGTGGTTGTGTTTGTTTTGAAATGGATAGGTGTGCCCCCGGATAAGGACGACCCATTGCGTAGGTTGATACCCTGGTCCACAGCTGGCTACTTAGGTCATTGACTGCCGCCCAATTGAGAACCGGCTACTTAGGTCATGAACCGGCTCCGTCCTATAGAGGACCGGTCCCCTACTGGATGAGGTCCGCTTTGGGCTGGTCAGTTCTATGGTCTAATCAGAAACGTACACTCTTCTTAATACCCGTGGATTAATGCCAAATTTAGGGGCGGAATGCGGTAGGATAAGAGGGGGCTTCAATTTCAGATTTATCCCTAAATTAAAAAGAAAAAGGAAGAAGCTTAATAGACACGCAACGAAATTAATGGTCTCGCTTATCTAATTGTTGGAGAAGACGTGGGCGAAGGCTGGACAGTGGAAACATCACAGAAACAGTGGGGGCACCTTTTTGTTTGTTACCTAAAAGACTAAATCCAATTAATTTAAAATGAATCTGATTAAATCAGATAAATTTGCAGCAGGAGAGAGCAATTTTTCTTGAACCCTGACTCAGTCGTTTTGTTGTAAGGTCAAATTTCAACTACAATAAATGAACAAATTGTGCCAAAATTCAGATTGGATTTTTGTCATTTCACCTAATAAATATATTAGTGACCGACTATACTTGGTGAATTTGCACATTGATTTTCATGTGTGCATGGGATGGTCATACGATGACATAGGCAATCTCTTAGGCAGGATTCATCCATTGTTTGATGCCAAGAGATATAACAGTTTGCATCATCAGCTGTAACCATCATGTCATAAGATAGTATTTGATTTTATTGTCGTTTATCAGAAAATTGGCATCAATTCAGCGCCACATATGCATTTTCTCCAATGGAATTATCATAAAACCTTTCAAATGGGTAAAATTGTACAAAAGATTTTGCACATAGAAAACAATGCAATTAAACAGTCTCTAATCTGTCAAACAAAATGTATGCCTTCTCCATTTCCTTCAAATTTAATGAGAATTACATGCATAACCTGAATTTTTTTTTTTTAATGGGTTGCAACTTAGACTGTGAATTGAGTGAATCTGAATCTCCTCCCAACAAAAGATTGCCCCAACACGTTTCGATGTGATCTATGCTGGAACTGTGTTGGGAAAATTTATGGGAGAAAACTATTTCACAGATCATGTTGGAAATGTATAGATACATAGTTACCAAAAAAGAAATAAACGTATTAAGTCAACAGAAGTGACCCAAACCCAAAGAACAGGCAAGCCAGAAGAACTCTTAAGTCTTAGCAGGGATGGTTGATGAGAAAAACAACTTCTTGTGGTTAAGATGGGTTACTTGGCATCTCATTCAAAGCAAACCAAACACACCACGTACCTTGCAAAACAAACACACCACGTTGAAACATTAGTCCTGAAGTGCTATTTTTGTATTATGTTAATTTTTTTTTTTTATAACAATAGCTAGCGATGGCAATTGGTTGGGTTGGGTTGAGTTTCAATCCAATCCATTTAATCCATCAACCCGTTAATGATTCAGTTATATAAAATTAAATCGGTTGGGTTCAATCCAAACCTGCTTTAACCCAATCCAACCCGCCCAAACCCATTAATCTTATATTTATGTACTTAAAACAAAAAACTAACTCCCTTTTAACAAATAAGTTGATCATAGCTTGATGGCAATAGTAATTGCACTTTATACATTGGTGAAGGTTTAAATCACATTACATGCATGTTGTTTTTACACAAGCAGCAAAGCTATTTAACTATGTTCGGGTTTCGGATTTGACAAACCACTTAGGTTCAAACCAGTCAAACCAACTTGAACTATCTAATTGGATTGTCTTTAAGCTAATCACATCAAGAGTGGTTGAACCGTTTAGAACCGGATCAGTCCGGTTAGACCGGATCCCGACCAGGCTGGTTCAGCTACTGGTGGATTGCCTTGGGTCGGCTCATGTCACATTTGTGCACAGGTTTGGCACTGAATCGACTGGCCCGAAGCGGGTCAAGAGAAGTAAATCAGACCGAATTCGGGTCGTGTTGTATGGATACGAGCTAGACCAGATGATCCAAACCGGGCAAAGCAAGCGGGTGGGTTTAGGGTTCGGATCCCATCCGGCCCAATCCGCTTCAGATTCGGGTCAACCCGGATCGGGTTGTATTGGGTCGAGTCAGCCTGTGTGACTAATGGTTGGACCGGACGACCCAAAGCGGGTAAAGCAAGTGAAACCGAACCATCCCATCTGGGGTCTATTTCAGATTCGGGTCAGCCCGGATCGATATATGTTGGATTGGGGTTAGATCGCATTGAACTGATCCGAACTCGAGTCAAATTGATTTGAATTTATGTTGGGTGAAGTGCGTTGATTCAAGACAAAACTAATTTTAGTCAATAATTAACAAAAAATTAATGCATTAATCATAAATTATTTAATTCAAATGAAGAAAGTTAAAAAAAAAAGGTTAAGGAATTAATACTTATGTCTGTGATGGTTAACCCAATAGTTATCTACAACCTAACCCATTTAAATAGGCAGGTTGGGTGATGGGTTGATCACACAACCCGCCAAGTAAATGGGCGGGTTGGGTGGGTTCAGCAGATTGGGTGAAAAATTGCCACCCCTCATCGGTTGACCCATTGAGTCGAATGGTTTAACGCTGGCTCCATTGATGTAAAGGAAAAAGCGGTTCAACCTTAGGGCAGGTTTCTTTTTCGTTTGAATGGGTAGGAATGGCAACGGGGTGGGTTCAGGGTGAGAATTACATTCCCCATCCCCGTCGCTGATCCCTGTCAAGGAAAGGAATCCTCCTCCATCCCCAACCCCGACGGGGATGAATTTTCCATCAGGGACCCAAATCCCCAAGCGTCATTGCAAAATCCAAACTCTTAGCCCTACAACAGCTAGAGCAAATGCAAAGAATCAATAGAGACTCCAAAAGATACGAATAGCCACTACAGAGGCTCCAAAAGATACGAATAGCCACCAACTCTTGCACCGGAAAAAAATCAACAAAAACCCAAAGCACTACCATTCAGATCTTCAAATTATCTGCCGAGAAACCCATTCAGATTTGTCAAGATTATCTGCTAAGAAACCCATTCAGATCTTCTCTCCTTTTACTTCTCCTCTACCTCCTCCCCATCAAGTGGTAGACTAGTGGTCGGCGACGATAGACGTCCGATGCTCAACGGGCGAGTGCAATAGCGACAATGGTCGGTGAATCAATGACGAAGACGAAGGAAGAAGTCTGGGTTCTAGGTTTAGAGTTCTTTCTTCTCTGTCAGTCAGTCTGTCGAAGTCTCAAAGACTGGACACTATCGAGTGCTTTTTAAGTTTTAATAAAAAATGAATAATAATATAATATATAATATTATAATATAAATAGTATATAATTATAATATATATATATATATATATATATATATATATATATGGATTGGATTGGGTCATGACATATCAGATTGAGGTATATTTGAATTCAACATCCCTGATCGGGGATTTATGGATAACCCCATCCCCGACCTCGACACTGCCAAAATACCCCCATACCCAACCAGTAAGGTTCAAGTATCAATTTTCAAATTTACTAATCAACGTAGTTGAATTTGTTGCGTTTTTTTGTTTTGGGTGGGCCGGTGGTTTCTTTGTTGGCGGGGTTCTTGTATATTCCTTTTTCTTAATAAATTTTTCTTTTTATCTTGAAAAAAGAATTCGTGTATCAAGAGCTTATTTTAATCCAATCATTTTATTTTTTATTATTTTTTTTTAATTTGATAATAGACATGAGACCTATCACACCACTTATTAAAGGTTCAAATAATTGAAATTAGCTAATTCCTCTTCTTTGACATATCAATTAGGGGTGCAAATCGGGCGGATACAGACTAGGCTCGGGCTTAATCCAAAAAAATAAAAACATTTGATTTCTTAACCCAAACTCAACTCGAAGACTGAAAATTCAAACTCAATCGTATAAAATTTCGGACTAAGGCGGTTCGGGCTCGGGTTGGGCCCGCCCAAATTGTTCCCCTAATATCGATGACCCAAATTGATATTCACCAACGTTTGATGGTTTGATACCAATGTTTTAAAAACCTACCCCGAAGTAAATGTTTTATTTCAATTTAAAAGATAAATAATAATTAAAATTAACAAAACCATAGTTTAAATCAAACGGATCGCTGATCATATGAATGGTTTTTAAGCAAGAAGCAATTTAGGGGTAAAATTGATAGTTTCTGAGCCAAACGGTCCCACCATCGGGTGAACGACGGTTAGAAAAGCATGATAGCAAATTATAATAATAAAAAGAAAACACTAGCATCTATAAAAAACAATTGCTATGAAGTATGAACCACGTGAATAGAACGTGTTGAATTCCCCAAACACCCCCACCCCGGGGATTATTAAAAAATATCTTGTTATAACAAAAATCAGTGAATGACATAAGTCATAAGTAACAAGTACGCCATCCCCCCATTCCTACTCAAGATCAACAAAGAAAGAAAAAACGAGTAAATCAAATCAAATCCATCCGAGCATCCGCCCCTCTTTTCAAACAAGCGCGTTTTCGTTGTTTGAGACCCTGACCTTGCCGTGTCTCCGCCGGAATATACCAAAACACCGCGATGGCTATACGTTTCCACTTCTCATCATTTCAATTCCCACCATAATTTCCTAGATACTCCCCTACTCTCTCTCTCTCTCTCTATATATATATATATTTGGTTTTCTCTAAAGTAAAAATCCACACACACGCAGCAGTCACAGACAAACACCCTTTATTTCCGTCTATCTATTATCTGTTATTTCTCTCTTCTTCTTCCTCCATCTCCATCGCCTTTGCCTTCCTCCCATGGCTGATGCTAAGCAACCCCACTTGAACGGGGCATACTACGGCCCCCCGATTCCTCCCCAGCAATCCTACCACAGGCCTGGCCGTGGCAGAGGCTGCGGCTGCGGCTGTTGCCTCCTCAGCCTTCTCTTCAAGATCATCATCACTGTTGTCGTCGTCGTCGGCATCGCCGTCCTTGTCCTCTGGCTCGTCTTTCACCCCAACAAGGTCAAGTTCCATGTCGTTAACGCTTCGCTTACAGAATTCAATCTCACCGGCAACACGCTCAGCTACAACCTTGCACTCAATATGACCGTGAGAAACCCAAACAAGAAGATTGGCGTTTACTACGACCGGATTGAAGCCAGAGCTTTCTACGACGACGTCATGTTTGGATCCCAGACCCTGACACCCTTCTACCAAGGCCACAAGAACACCACTTTCCTCAATCCTGTCTTCCAGGGCCAATCACCACTAGTTCTCGGCACTTCCGAGCTTAACGATTTCAATACTGACAAGACTGCTGCCTCCTTCGATATCGATGTCAAGCTGTATCTCCGGATTAGATTCAAGGTTGGCTCGCTCAAGACTAACAAGTATAAGCCCAAGGTTAAGTGCGAATTCAAGGTTCCTTTGGTCACTAATCGCAGCTCGGTTGGTGGGTTCGAAACCACGAGATGCGACATCGATTTCTGATCGGTCTAGCCATTCACACCTACACCATTGATTCTTCTGTTTATTTATTATCTACTCTTTTTTTTTCTGATTTACAGTGTTTCGTATATCAGCGGCTGTATGTATATGTTATTTTCTGCGTAGGACACAGATTATTTTGTTCATTGGTTTACATTCTTTGGTGATTTATTATATATGTTACACCATAGATATACTTTCTGTATGTGAATAAATAAAGAAGTAATATGGTGGGTTTTGATTTTCGTCATAAGATATACTCAGACAAAACAAGCTGTATATCCCTCGATCGCTAGTTCTTGTTAAGACAAGAATAAGCTATTGACTAGCTTAATTTAGTTAATGAAGCTCTAATTTCTAACTCCAGGAAGATAAAAGCTTGTTGCCACAGATTGCAAACTAGTCAAGAGAAATTGAATTATGATAATACGCTTGTAAAGAACATACCTAAGATTATGCTTTTATCTTTTTTATGGACATATATTTCTCTTCTCTGAAGTAAGCAATTAATTTTCATTGGTAAAAATTATTAATTTCACCTCTCATCTCTATTCAATGTACATAAAGGGATTCAAATGCAGTATCATTTCCAGTCCAAAATTGCGTGTGCATCCAGCCTAGTTCCATATAGGGCTGAGCTCAGGCCTGGGCCTAATTTAAGCCCTTATCCTAGTTACTAAGCCCAGTCCTTCCCAGCCCATTTTTTTCATTGTTTGTAGATTTTACTTTTAATAGTACCTATTTAAGCAGAAATTTCTAGGCTAAGAAGTTTTCAATCCCATTAGATATCCAAATACTATATATTTTGCTTCATATCTACATTAATTGGAAATCATATGCTTTTCTTTGATTGCAACAATGCCCATTGTTAAAATTACAGTTGTACATCCAAAATTTTAAAATCCTCTCAACCATATTCAACCTTCCAAGTATGGCTGAAAGCAGTGGCTAAGGGATATTTTTCTCAGATTTTTCAATACATCTCAACATAGCTCCAGCTCATTCATGGTATTTGCTTGTTTTCAAAAGTGGTACATCAACAAATTATATCGATGTGGACAAGTACAATATTTTGTTCTTAGAAACAACAAATTAAAGAAAATGAAAAGGCTTGGGTCTGGGACCCAAAACATCTCATCTTTCCTAAACTAGGATGATCAGGACCCACCTTGAAGATTAGTTAAGATTAAATTCAGCTTAGGTTCCTTTCTAAAATGCCTGTTTTGAAACACATATTTGTGTAGTTGTAAAAAAAGTTCTAATTAAAACATTTGACAGCCCTAGAAATGATGCGTGGATACATGGACCAGAGACATCTGATCATGCTAAGACCTCTCTTGGGTGGAATCCATATGTCCAATAATGGGTCTTCTTCCTCTGTATATCGGTCATGTAAAAAGTTGGGGCAACAAATAGAAATGGGTACCCAACATATCCAGCATTTTCGTTACTAGGGTTTGGGCCCAGAAATTTCAAACCCAAGCATAATTGGGTCAACTCGATTCCATATGTTTAAAACCCGTTAGGAATTGGTCCAACCCCAGACTAATATATATCCAATAAATCTTTAAGCATATGATTAGTTTTTCTTTCCTTTGCAAGAATTATCCTGTGCTGTTTATTTCAGAAGGCTAAGTTTGGAAAGAGTATACAGTACAAATACATACAAAATACAAGGTTTTGCATTTTTACTTGTTCCTATGGCTCAGTTTGGAAAGAGTACAAGTACATACAAAATGTAAGGTTTTGCACTCTACATATTTGTATTTGTACTCCTTCCAAACTGAGCCTATAGTATAAATACATACAAAATGTAAGGTTTTGCACTCTACATATTTGTATCTGTATTCCTTCCAAACTGAGCCTTGTATTTTCACAAGGATGAGGAGATACCACGAAACACAACCACCACCCGGATGTATGTATAGATTTGAAATTTTTTTACAAGAATTGAAACTGCACAAGCAAGCCGCGTTTGTTGAAAAACAAAAACAAAATAAAATATGATATGCATCAAGCTGCCGCAAAGCATGTAGCGTTTCTAATTAATTAAGTAGTTACATACACAGACACAGCTTAATTGTTTAAGAGCAATAATTAATGTACACTATTCTCCTCTTCCATGTATTTGCGAGGAGAATATCAGAATACCTCATTAATCACTAATGAGTTCATTCCCCTTAAAAACGCCCCCTCTCCAGCTCTCCCTCTCCCATTGCGTATAAACCATTCTACGTCCACCCCCACCTCACAACTTAACTCTCTCTCTCTCTCTGGATGGCAGAAAACAGTTGTTCAGAATGGGTACGTGACATATGTTGCATCATCATTATTGTTATTCTTCTGGATAGCCTCTTCCTCTTCATCTTGTGGGCAGTAGTCATCGGTGTCGATTATCATGTGGTTGGTGCATCCCTGACTGAATTCAACCTCACCAGCGATAACATGCTTCCTCACAACCTCAGGCTCAATGTGACATTGATGAACCCAACAACCAAAATTGTTCTACATCGTCGCATTGAAGTCACTGCTTATTACTGCGACCAACAGTTTGGTGTTACAAACTTCTTCGCACCATTCCGGCAAGTCCCTAAGAACACGACGCTGCTCCACCCAGTCTTCCACGGTGAATCACGTCTGTTCCTTGACATCCCTAAGAACACGACGCTGCGACCAACAGTTCTACTCAAGCTCCATGTACATCCCAAGTACAAGATTGGATCGCTTAAGATAGGAGCCCGTTCTGATGATCTTAACTGTCAACTAATGGTTCCTTTAGTATCATCAGTTGGGAGCTCAGCTACCACTTTCAAGAGCACAAAATGTGTTGGACCACCGCTGCCGGAATTTAATGGCCGTTGATCTTTAGTAAGCAATACCATAAATTGTAAATTCTGTCCAGTTGATGATGTGCCCATGCATGTTATAATCTACTTCATCTTTATGGTTCTTCTGTCTTCTATTCCAATTCATCCAAGGAAGAAAACTTGGCCTGCCTGACCCTAGCCCAATATAAGCATGCCTAAAGTTGACTTTGTGCATGACCTGCGCTGGGATTACCTTTGCCCTTACCAATTAAGTCAATACTTATTTTATTGGCCCAAGGCCCAAATTATTAGCTTGGCTCAGGCCCAATCCAAGTTGGGTCCTTGGGTCAGGCTGACCTTGACCTGGCAAGGGTCTGTCAAATGCTCATCCCAAATTCATTGAAATCTAACTAAATGAAAGAGATCCAATTTACGAGTTACGACGTTATCATGGTCAATCACAGAGGCTGCTTCTTGGGTTTCACCAAATTCTGCTGCACCAAGAAAAGACCCAAACCATGGATTCCAAGGATGGTTGGAATTGTCAAAAGCTACACACTGCTAGTGCCATAATTAATTATCTCCATTACGATTTTGTTTCCAAACTAATTAGCGCGTTTAATTCTACTAAGTGCAACAATCAATTATCTAGATCTAGTTGATTCTCTCACCTTTGAATTCATGGACCCGGGTCACCCATATGAGACGCAACCCAACGCCCAACACTAATTGAGATATGAGGAACAATATGATTGAGGAATGCCATTAAGAGTGAATTGAATAAAGTAAAAAGTAATAGTTTAAATTACATGCATATTTTACACTCACAGTTACATAAGGACTAAATTCATAAGTATGAGCATTTTAGTCAAGAAAAAGTTCACAAATCTTATTTATTTAATATATACTAAATTTAGGATTTAATGAGAGGGGATGGGATCTAGTTAATATCTTAAATATAGGATTTAATAAGTGAAAATGAAATGAATTTAATATAATAGTTCAGATTACATTTTTTCCATATAATAAAGAGAGACCAAATTTAACAATAGGGGTATTTTAGTCAAAAAAATCACAATAGGTGTATAGGAGGTGTTTCCAGCATGCAGCTTGATGCATATATATATATATATACACTTGAAAATTTTTTCTTTGAGGTCCAGACTCATACCGTAGTTGGCAATGCCTAGGCATTACATAGGCAACTAGGTGGTTTTCCTTTTCTGTAGTTGACCTGTCTAAATGCCCTATAATTTTATATGTGATCCTTGCCCAAAGATTTAGGATATTCCCAATGTGCGAATGTGAATTAATATTACACTTGAATTTGTTGAACTCTACTACCATGAATTGCAAATTCTGTCGGGTTCATGTGCCCATGTTATATCCATACCTACAATTTGTTAACAAACGTATGGGTTCTTGTGTCTTACAATCCAATTCATCTAAGGATGAGCACTTAAGCCTTCCATGACCCAAGACATGGCCTAGCTTGGACCAAAATATAAGCCTAAAGTTGAGTTTGAGCTGGCCCTGAGGTAGTTAACATTCTCTGCAGTCTGCACCATGCAACCAATAGCAATCTGCCACATCATCTAGTCTAGAAAATAAAAAGGCTTCAAATTTTAAATTGGGAAGGACTGGCGTGGTAGACTGCTATTGGTCTGGTGCAGAGGATGTGAATTAGATCTGAGGTAGCCTGCTTCTTGGGTTTCACCAAATTCTGTGGCACCAAGGAAGACAAAGACAGACCTAAATCATGGCTTTCAAAGATCCCTCATCCCTTGAATTGACAAATCCAATTTCAAATCAACCCTTTTCCGGATGGGGCTATTGAGCCCATTTGTTGTCAACTGATAAAATAGTGAACAGAAAACGAGCCTTGATGATACTAGAATCAGGACTCTGTAAAAAAATAAAAAATAAGGGGGGCTCTTGAGACTGCAAAAACAACACCATCACAGGACCTCAGAGGTGATTGGTAGATGAAGTAGATCTGCTCCATCTGATCTTGGTCTTTAATTCTACGTTTGACAAATGAAAGTTCTCCTGCCTTATATGTGGTTAGATTGGTCTCTCAAGCTTACATTAGCCTTCCATACGTTAGTGGAAGTTTGCTTAGAAGTTCTGATATGATTAAATTCAGCTAACCAAATGAAATCGATCCTGCTTTACGAGGTGGAGCACTTGTATTAGAGGTGTAAGTAGGGTCTGCCTAAATGAAAGAATTTATATTGTATTGGGCTTGGATTTTTGGGCTGGGCCTGTTTGTAACACACAGGATATGCTGCTGATCATATATAAGCAGGACCCCGTTCATGGATTCCTAATAGTAAAGCACGTTTGAAGTTTGAACATATATATACACACGGACCGTGACCGTGAGATTGCATTTCCTGTAACCGTGGTCGTAGGACAATCTGGAGACCCCTCAATTGATCTTTTGTTTCAAACACTGCGGTCGCATGCGACATGATCACAAGAAATGTTTTCTCATACACCGCCAGATAAATACAATAGGCAGCCTGTACTTTCATGCCAAAGGTGCATACTTATTGGGATCCAGCAATTGATCCTGCTAACAGGTAACCAGCAGATTCAACGCAGGATTTCAGGTGGCCCTTGGACCGGATGAAGTTCAGTGTGAACCAAAAAATCTGGCCCCTCAGTTACTCAACAGTTTAGAATCTTTAGACTCTTATGCTGTTTGAATTGAACCCTAAACCTTAAATGTGCATGAATAGACCAAGAACTCTAAACCTTAAATATGAAAAGGCCTTTTTGCTAGGGTTTTTTTTTTTCGAACCGAGAAACTAAGCTAGATTTGATTTGCAATTAAAAGGTGTGGTCTACTTTTCTAATTGGATATAGGAAGCAACACATTGTTAGATCTACATGGAACCCATGTCACCATATATAAAATCACTTTATTTAATATCTTCTTTTGAGATGGCCTAACCACATTTCTTAAGGAGACTTGGGGAAGGCTTTAATACATACAAGCAGGAGATGGGTTGATGTTAAAAGAGAGCCTAGATCTCCTTAAAGCAAAAAATCTTTTAAACACCTTGAGAGCACAGTTTGGGAATATCTTCCATTCTTGTATGTTAAATTCATGGGGAGATGTTTCCAATGTACAGCTGGATGCCCATGTTTTTACGGGGGAGTGATTATATTTAGATCCATAATTGAATTGGTTGTGGGTGATTTTTTTTTTTTTCTTTGGTAAGTAGTGTGTGAGTTTAAGTAGCCCCATATTTGATTTTTTTTTTAATTCAAAAAATCACAAAATTCTGAGTGGGTTGGAAGCAATGTAAAGAAGAGAGAGAGAATAAGCTGACTAGACAACTGCAAGGTTAATAGCTTGCACATGTGCAAGGCATGAACAAAAACAAAAACATGAAACAATAAAAAAAAAAAATCTACTAAAGAAAAAATAGAAAGAGGGTAAAGGAGAAACACTTTAGAGTGGAGAAAAATAATTTTGAAAGAAAGAAAGTAGGAGGAAGTTAAGGAAATTAATAATTTAAGATTTTAACTTCCTCTTTAATAGAGGAAATACTAGGACTTGGAGCCATGTGGGAGAAATAAAGGGGAGTAAGAACAAGCGATTAACCTTGATCCCATGTCATTAACAAAAAAAATTAAAAAAGAAAGAAAAAGACATTTCACATACCGAGTACCTATATATAAGACAAGCAAAAATCTCCCCTTATTTTCAGCCATTAAGGAGCCAACAACCTCCATAACATCTTATTCACTAAAAGACAAAGCAATAAGCTTTTCAGTTCAACCACTTCAGCTGTTATCAAATGGCACATAAATGTCTTTCTTCTTCAATATGTAATCTATATCTATAATCTATAAAATTATAAAAGTGGAAATGAGGACTTAGTCTTTTAGACTTTTTCTTGACTAAAATATACCCCCCTTTTGAATTTGGTCCCTATTCATCAAAAAAAAAAAAAAATGGTCCCTAGCAGAAATTTTGAACACACTATTTTTTCCATTGCATTTTCTCTCATTAAGTCTCATATTTAAGATATTAACTCCCTATCCCTCTCATTGAATTCTATATTTAAAGTATCTTTGTTTCTCATCATTAAATTTCATTAATTAAATCCACAATAATTTTAATAGTATAAAAACCTTTTACCTTAAAACTGGCTCAAAAGTGAAACCGTTTTTTTTTTATTTGTCTAGGTGGAAGATAAGCAATTCAACCATTTAGGTCAAAAAAGTCATATAAAATTTAAAAAAAAACAGTTAAAAATACAAAATAAATGCAAAATAAATAAACTTTATATAAAATCATGAAAATATTTTTAATATTATATATTCATTATATTAAATAAAAATAAGTATGATAAATAAGAAATATTTTTATAAATGAAAAAATGGAACGCAAAACTTAAACACATACGAAATGAAACAATTTTTGTCCAGGTGATATGCAGTGGCTTAACCAGCCAGGTCAAATGGGCAGACCACCCAAGATGTCATAGTTAAATAACAATAAAAGTATAGAAAAATACAAAGAATTATAAAACAATAAACATTTATTAGCATATCTGATATTCCATATTTATGCATTTATTATCAAAGGCCATAATTTAATTATGGTTCTAATATATTTTATATATGTCTTCTATGTGAATATTATGTCATATCTACATTAATTACAATGAGTTGGGTGGTATAAACCTGTATACAGACAACCGTGTTTATCCGTCATATCTTGACATCAATCAGGGAAGCTCCGTAGAAGGCACCAAATTATTCAGCTACGTAGGGTAATCATGTGGCCAATCCAAATCGTCCATCAGATGTGCACCCTTGGATCAGACGTGTTAACTCACATAGTCTAGATTATCAATAAAAGCACCCAAAATTTTTCAGTTTAAAAAATGCCCTCAAACAGAAGGGCACTTTAACAAGTGAAGAAATGTTTTGAGCCGATATTTATTATATCCTTCTCATTCGGGTCAAGAACGATTGTCTAATTACTATCTTCCCCAAGACCTAAAAAGAAGTGCATAATTTCAGGAGGATGAAATCAGTCAAATATCAAGGAAAACTTGTTATGGTAAAATGAGGGAAATGAAACATAAATAGGTACAGCAGAGACGTATAGAATAGAAAAGGGGAAAAGAGAACAGCGATTTGTTTTTTTTTTTTTTTGATGAATAGAGAACAGAGATTTGTTCTCCAAGGAAAATTGAGACAAATGTTCTATCATTGTTCTATTCTTAGGGGGTGCAGGGTGCTTGGATTGAATTGCAATATTCATCCATTATTATTAAAACTCCAATGAATTAAAAGTTCATTGTTTGGGTGATGATAATTAATCCACTTCATCAAGAATGGTCCAAAACCAAAATATATGTTACATCACTCTAACTGATTATTTGTTATATCATCATATACAGTAAATATATATTTTACAAAAAATGATTTTTTTTTCTATACAATGATTTCATTTTTTTCTTATTTTACAGCACCACCATCATATTAAAAACTATTACAGTTTCTTATGATTTATTTCTAATAATTTGGCATTTTACCTTTTAAATTGTTTAAACATAAAAGAAATTATATTTGCTTAATTTTCTCATTATTATAGATATGTTAAATTATACAACGATATGAGTTACAACCATTATATAGAATTTAAAACAATTAATTTGTCATGTAATAATATACTTTGACATGCCTTTAAACACATCTTTCTAAAGAATTGTAATGAAAACGAAAGGTTACATTTAACTCACCTTTAAACTCTGAAAATTTTGATTCTCAAAGATCAGATAGTCCTTTGGTTAAACATCTAAACACACTTCAATATTCTAAAAATTCCTCTCAAATTCTCAGTTCTAAATAAATTCAGCACTGAATTAAAAGATCATTTGGATTTTGTCCTTCCACAACACAGACCATGAAATTGCCACTATATCATAATACAGATCATAATATAATATATAACAACACTTATCATACAAAAATGTAACATATAATGCTTACTATATTGTATAGTATATACAAGATATTATTGATATTAATAGTAGAAATATATGTACAGTTGTATAAAAGATAATAATTAATATAATAATAATTAATGGAAAGTTATTTCTAACAATTAAACCATATTCAACTGTATAAAAGATAATTAATACATAATAATTAGACTACCATTTCTAATTATTGCATTCAAAGCTCAAAAAAGGGAAAAATGGAAAGTTATTTCTAACAATTCAGCATTGAAAACTATTCTTCCAATTTTTTTGCTTTTCAGAAATCAGAGTTCAAATTTACCAAACCACCTAACAAAAACATCCACATACCAAAATTGACCTTTTGATATCCATAATTTAACAAAAATACCACTCTCAAACAGTAAATGACTCAATTAACACATACTTGACTGATCATAATAAAAAATTAAGATGCAATAAATGAAGAGGCTACTAGCTTCGTCGCCTTTCATAAAAGCCAACCGAAAAAATTCAAAGTGACTTGCTATTTAACCCTTAATAACCAGCCTTATACACCATATGAAAATTGCTTCTTCATTGCCTCACCAGTCTCATTGGACTAGTTTCTGCCCTTGGTCATCAAGAAATTCCTTAACCTCAAGGTAAAATACTTAACCTTGCCTTTGTTGAATGTTGAGCATCATATCCATTTCCTTCCTATTCATGGATGTACAATTTTGTTCTCTACCACCTTCAGATCTTGTTTCTAAGTGTGAACTTTGCCATTGTCCAATTAATTGTATTTAGTTGCATATGAAATTATGCATACTGTTTTTATTGACAAATATTGGTGGCTCTCTTTAGGATTCAAGTTTATGTGATATCATTTTCTAGTTATAGAATTGTATCAAAAATAAGAAATAACCTCTGTTTTGCAGAGTCAAGCATGAGCAGCAAAGGAAAGAGACCAAAGGTGGAAATTGAGCTGAACCTCTCACCACCAAGGATTTTTCAATACGATGAATCACCAAACCAATCAGCAACATTTTCTCCAACAAGCTCCTGTGTGTCAACAGAACTTAATCCTGAAGCAACTGTTCCTCCTAGGGTGACATCAATGGCAGTATTTGGGTGTCCACGTTGCTACATGTATGTTATGCTGTCTGTAGACGACCCAAAATGCCCTAAATGCCACAGTTCTGCTTTGCTTGATTTTCGCAATGGAGCTAATGGTATTGGTACCAGCAACTGCAGAAAGAGAAATGAAAATGACAGCGGTAACAACAAGACCGGGAATATGTAGGCTTCCTTTCCAAAGACCTGCCAAAAGAATAAATAAAAGATACTACTAGTCTCTAAATAAAAGATACTGCTAGTCTCTTTCTCTCTCCAATTTCTTCTCCCTCCCTCTCTCTCTCTCTCTGCAACAACTGCCGCTCAATTGATGCTGTCTTACATAAATCTAATTATCTTTTTTTTTTGTGAAAACCCAGAAGTAATTTCGTTCAAGAGTTTCCAGTATATGCTTAAAGGTTACATTGAGGAAAATCGGGAATAAGAGACCAGGTATGAGATCTACAAAGAGAATATGCTTGCTTAGCAATAACATGAGCACTTGTATTCCCCGAACACCTGACAAAGGATACAGATGAATTAGAAAACCTACCTAGTAGATCCTTGCAGTTAGAAATAACACTTCTAATTAATGTTCACTATCTGCAGTGAGTCCCCTTCAATATGAATAGCAATAATAAATCAGAGGTTAAGTAGTGGGCGAACCAGACAAGGCTTGATCTAGACTTGACCCCTTAGATATCTGGACCAGGCCTTAGCCAAAAAATAGTCTTAACTCATAAAGTCAAGCTTGGGGTAGATTCTTATTGACCTCAGCACAGTTTTAGCACCTAATTTCACCAGGGTCAATGAACCTATCATCTCCATCTCTATGAAATCACTGACCTCTCAGCCCTTGATTCTAATATTCTAGGCTTACTGAGAACCAAAAATCCACCTAAAAATTTAAGCGTTAAAGCCTTCAATAGAACCATCCAGTAGACCCACTGATATGCGTGAATAGTTGAGGGTCATCAACATAACTATGATACTCTGCAGTTTAGCATGAAGCCAGCTTTCAACAAATTATTGTAAAAGCTTACGAGCAGCATTTTTAACAGTCACTATGACAATAATTGATTGCTGTCTAGATTCCCCTCAGCTATGACTGTTCTTGAGATTATCTTAAACCTCAACATTGATTATCAGAATCATGATTTAATATCTTCTTCTAGTGTTGTAATACTCCTTTTTCATGCCTGGTATAATTACAGATTTCAGTTCCGTGCACCTTGATGACTATCTAAAGCATAATTTCATAATGCAGTTGACAAGTCGTAGCCACCATCAGGTGGATTCCGTATGGATTGCACCAACTATAGCTCTAAAAACAAACACAATTTTCCTAGAATTTTAAATAAATTTTATCAAGCATTAACTTATTTTGGATAGAGCAAGTTTTGCCCATTATGTCAAGGGTACTCGCAAGGATCAAAATATTGATACGTTGGATACCAACAACACCTTGGGTATCTGTGTACTGATACAGACCGATACTCTTTTTATTTTTTATATTAACAGCCTGAGAGGGATGCCTTCCATCATCCCAAACTTTGAAAAACCCCAAACCCCCTGTATTGGTGTTTCCATGCCTCTCCAGACCACCAACCATATCAATACTTTGATCCTTGGGTACTTGTCCATATCTAAAAAGGATTAGTCAAGGTTGTTTCAAAAACAATACAGTTTGCATGTAAAGCATGCGGTAAACCTAGATCTCCTTTCCTAATCAATAGAGTAAACATAACATGATGTTTCATAATAGAAAGCAAGGAAAGGAAAGATGCATCAGAAGAAGCAACTTACATTTCTGCTGATAGAATTAACTCCACAAGGACTCAATGTTAAGTTCTACAAAGGAACAAGGATCCGGAATGTCGAAAATAATTAAGACCTGAAAGGTACATGATGTAAAAACAAGTTTGACTTGGAATCAGATGAATATCGTACAGAATAAACCCCACACAGAGACACCTATTAGTCCAGTACATGACAATTCAATTAAAATAGCAGAACCTCCATGACATAGAAGCCTAATTAGTCTGCTCATATCAACTAAAAAAGGCAAACATATCCCTTTCTCTTGATCAGAGGAATTACCTCCGGGTTCACAATACCAAAGGTCCCAATGTGATTTCCTCTGAAAATGATGTTAGCTTGTCTACCCAGAAGAAATTCAGGCTCCTTCAATAGATATAAGATTGTAAGTATGGCATAACCAAATTTTCCACAAGTAAATGGAGTGAAATAATGCTTACATCTGAACGCTTAATATAATAACCAGAGTTGTCCCCAATTGGAACGAAAGGCGTTCCAACTACTTCCATGATTCTGTCTACCAGGCAATGAATTAACTGGGAAAAAAAAAGATTAAAGCTTAATACTAAGAAACACAAATTTTGCGATCAAATATATATATTAAATTCTAATGTGAAATATACCAGAAAAATAAAGGGGGAGAGAGGCTTAAGTATATAAAGAAAGCATATCCACACTCACCCACTTAAATATGCACATAGTAACATTCTCAGTCAAACATATTATAATGCAGCATAAGCTTGCAATGCCAATGAAGAAGATTTTAATAATAGAAAATGATGCTCTGTATTTCGGAATGTGCAGGCTTCTCTTGACATTTATTGAATACTTTAAGCCATAAAACAAGAGTCCATGCGACCAGAATCAGTTTGCACTTGAAAGGATCTTTTGTGCTATAAGGGATGAATTGACCCCACAAGTAGTATCACAAATCATTCAATAAGATGTGTATCATTGAAAATAATAGAAATTGATATTCTGATATATTTCAAAATCTGCAAGCTTTGGTTGACAGATGTGCACTCAAAAGGATGTATAAGGGGATGAACTGACCCCACAACCAGTACCACAAATTTTTAGTAAGACCAGTATAGACAATGGAAATGATAGAAAATGATATTCTGATATATTTAACGATCTGGAAACTTCTATTGACGTTTATTGACTACTCTCCACCCCAACAGAACAGTTCAAGGGACCATAAACAGTTCGCTCTTCGAAAGGATGTTTCGTGCTTCAAAAAATGAATCCACAAGCAGTGTTATAAATCATTCAATAAGACGTGTATAAACAATGAAATATTGAACCATTACTAAAGTTGGGCCGGGTAAATCAAAATAAAAACCATTGACAACAGAATATTCTCCTGGAATTGCTATGTTACAGTTCATTAGTTCCTAACTGATCATTACTGATCATGCAAAATCATGCTATGTTACAGTTATTGCATATCACACACTGAAGTGGTGTCCCATAAATAACCACTTAAAGTGGCATTTCTCTTCTTAGTTATCAAACATTACTCGATCTTGGTGCTCTAGGGCAGACGTTTCCCAAAGGATCTGGACCCCACATACCAATCCCACTTCCCTTAGCCCAACAAATAGAAATTAGCCTATTCGCAACCACCAGCTTACCAAATTTAATGTCCCAAGTGTGGTGCAGTCTAAACAGAAAGGGAGTTAAAATCTATTAAAATGTAAATGAGTAGGTCAATGAAAAGTTATTATGCCCATTGTAGATTAAAAGCAAGACAATCAGACCACAAGTTTTCCAATTGAGCAATTGCATGGACACCCCACCTTTGGAAGAGACTCGTTGGTCAATACATGTCCAATTGTCCACAAAGTCAACTTATGTTCAACTGTCCAAAGTACATGTTGGAGTCAGCCACAGTGCAAAGCAGGTAATTTACCAAAATGCCTACCACATCAAGTCTCCAAAATTATTATGAATCCCCACTTCAAAAGCATCTATATAATAGTCATCCAAGCATTTGAACTTTCCAATAGGGCACTCTAGTCTTTGTATTTTTCCAATAGGGCACTCTAATCAGGTTCCAATTTCTGTGTCTGAATCCATGCAACACTGTGGAGTACCAATCAAAATTTAATTCAACAAGATTCCCACTGTGAGGATAATATTCTGTACAATTATCTAAACAAAGAGAACAAGGGCACTACCTAAACAGTTCTGGATACAGAAAAAGAACTATTATCCTTGAACTGTCAGAGCAAACCTTCTCAAGAAATATGAATGTGATATTCTATTGAAACTTTCAATGTCATTGACAAAAAAAAAAAAAACATCTGAATTGAATAGCCGGTAATAAACAAGAACCTTGCAAAAAATTTAGAAAAAAAAAAGAACCTTACTAGATAAGACAAAAAAAAAATTATACGCATCTTTCTCTGGATCATCTGTTCAATACTTTTTAAGTGATCAACAAGATATTAATAGCTCTATTTTTTTCTAGGAAGTTTTACCTCAAAACCTGAGTTAGCACCACAATATAGAGCTGCAAGATGGCGTTGATTTTTCGCACCAACATCTTTTGCTTCATCCAACACTGCTACATCACCCACTTCAAATATCTATAACCAATAACAAATTATGAGTCTCAGAAGATACACTTTGCACAAAAATCCATAATATAAGCATTAATGATGGAAAGAGAAAATTACTGCATGCAATGTAAGAATACAGACAATATCCACAGAAAATTACTACATGAATTTTAAAGAAAAAGAAACGCACAACAGGAAGTATGATAAAGGGAACCAAAGGGCATCAAATGGCCCAACAAAAGCAAAGGCCATGACCTCTATTTAAGTCAATTTCCACAGACTATGCCTATTCACCTCCATGAATCAAGCATAAACATGGTCACTCCAAATTGGCCCATTTTTTAAAGAATTACTGAAGAGAAATACATGAGACCTATCCCTCTAAGAGTGGAGGCCAAATGAAAAAGGGCAAGATTCATGCCAAAACATGTAAAAAATGCGAATACATTTAGAAATAAGGACTGTCACCACTTACTGATCTCTTGCTCCTTTGCTACAGTTTATGGAATTGGATTCTTACGTTGTTTGAGTGTAGGTGGAACCTGCATCTGATACTAGTTTGTTGTTTAGTGCGTCTATTCTTGAATGGCACACAAAGAGAGGGAGAATTATGTGGAAGTGCATAAGAGCAGCTTTGTTGTGGACAGTTTGGGAAGAAAGGAACACCAGAATCTTTTGTGAAAAAGAAAGGAGCTTCTCGGAAGTTAAAGAATGTATTTTGACAAGGGCAATTCAGTGGCTGAAAACTCTAAATCTTTGGTGCATACTCTTTTGATGACCTATGGAGAAGCTGGTTAGCAGTGGCTAATACTTCTACTAGGAAGGACAGACATGGGGTTGAATGGATGCCACCAGGGGAGGAGTTTATCAAGCTAACTTTGATGGAAGTAGCCGAGGAAATCCAGGACCTTCAGGCATAGGAGGAGTGCTGAGAAACAGAGATAGTTGCTGCTGTACAAGGAATCCAGCTTGCAAATCGGCTAGGCATAGAGCATCTGATTATTGAAGGGGATTCCCAGGTGATAGTGGGTTGGTTGATGGATCCAGACACTGTGATTTGGGGTTTTAGAGATCTTCTCAAAAAGGTTAAATGGTTAAGAATATGACAATAAGAGTTCAGTGGGTAGGCAGATCAGCAAACACATTGGCTGATTCACTTGCAAAACAAGGGGTTTTCCGGGGTACTTTATTTTGGGCTTCAGTGTAATTTCTTTTGTACTTGTAACTTTGTAATTAGCTTTAAAGGAAAGGTCGCATCTCATGCCTTTCCACAGGTTGCATGTAACTCTTATTTGCTGGTTTAATAAAATTTCACTCATTTATCAAAAAAAGAAAATGAAGTTTTGTCCTAGTGTTCTTTTATTTCTTCACCACTTTCTTCAGTAGAACAATTATTAGTGAAAGGTATATGTTGTAAAAGGTGCATACCTCTAATCATTAGTCAAAAATACATGTCGTAAAAGATAAAAGCATACCAATGTATTCAATTTTATCACTTCAAAATTGGGAAATCAAATATTCTACAATAAGATGATCAAAAAAATTGCACCCTGCTTAACAAAAATGTAATGTACCTAAATCAGAACTGTTCACCATCATACGACATGATACTTTTGATTTTGCCCCATTTCATTAGCTTCTATATTCAGTAATTTGCAGAACCCACATCCCAATATATCTGGTGACTTTTCTTGTATGAAATTCTATTGGGCAACAGCTTTGTTCATCTCATTATCCTGTCCCAACTCCCAAATCCCAAGACTTCCCAAAGCCCAAATACCCTCAACCTCTTTCTTAAACAATCTAATTGAAACCTTAATCATTCTGGTTAAATATCAGATTTAGGACATATATGATAAGGTACCAGTAAACCGAAGAATAAGCATTTGTAAGGTTTGGTTATGGATTCACTTAGAAGGGTGCTAGATAAATTGATGAAAGAATGTAGCTGGATCAGATAATCAGCACTCCAAGGATTTTAGCTGATCATGTTTTCTCAGGTTCTTAATGGCTGATCAATGTAGTGCCATTTCTAATTCCTTTGGAAAAGTGGTTTCTTGGGACTTGGATTGCTTCTGTAAATGGCTTCCAAACTAGGGAGATTGGAGCCCAGATGAACTATAGAAATCTCCTTGAACTACAATGTAATCTGGTTCTTGGGCCTGCCTTCTTTCCGGGGGCCTACTTGTATGTTGTATCCTTCTCTATATTCTTAATAAAATTACATTACCTATTTCAGAGAGAGAGAGAAAGAGAGAGGCTAGAAATAACTATATGGGCACCTAGAGTCACTCTATGAATAATGCAGCTCAGAATCCTGCATCAACCAGAAACACTAAGTAGCAATTAGCAAACTTCACTCAAAATATAAAAATTACCACATTTTGCATTCACATAGCCTCTCCATCCGTACTCCTAAAATCTAAAATTAAGAAAATAGAAATTTACAACTTTTCCAACTTTCAATGAAATTCAGTAACTACTTACCCATCCTATGACCTTGAAATTTTAAGATGAGATTAATACTAGACAATCATAGGTAGACTAGACCCCATTAAAAATTTATAACAAAAAAAATACCCCTACTATCTAAAAATACAATTACTTTCTTGCATTCAGAGAGGGGTTCCCAAATTACCAAATATCTAAACAAGTTGAAAACTATTCTACTAGTTTCATGTTTTTTTTCCTAAAACAAGACAAATAATTAAAACTGCCAATCAAAAAAAAAAAAAAGGAAAGGTAGAAAAGAGGGAGGAAACAAACTCCAAGCACAACCAAATGGGGCAATTGCAAAGGATAGTGAAAAAAATACATACTACAAAAAATTGATGTCAAGAGTTAGACATCCCTACCATATACAGGTTAAGGAAACATTCGAGCAATTCAAGTGTACATGGTTGGCAAAGTGTATTAGTAAACAAATAATGGTACTAACTCAAGCTTACGACTCACATTGCCAATACCAAATGGTTGAAAAGAAAATCTATAACAAGAGAAAACATGAAGCACACCGCACAATTGAAATTACATATAATAAGGTACCTTTATGGGCTTTGGATGATCTTTGTTGTGCCCAACAGTTTTCAATATACCTGGCATGAGACTTGTTCGAACAATCTGCAGAAAAGCATAAGATGTTAATGCTGCCACAATTAAATAATCAATAACTCAGCACAAACAAAATTTAATAAATGCAAATACAAAATAAATAGAGAAAACCCTAGATGATGGAATATTATAAATAGCTTTTCTCCAATTATGACTGTTTCAAGTTTCAACTGAAACAAAAAGGTGTTAAATTTGACCGCATTTCTGATGCTGAAAGGGATTGACTATAAAGAGGATTTGAAGTTGAAATATTGATGGTGACAAGCACTAACCCATGTGGTTTCCTGACAACTTCTATATTCGGTTTTGGCACATCACGATGATGAGTGATGACTATCCAGGTAATGCACGACTTCCATAGCAATATTAACCTTACCAGAGCAGCTAATCCCACCTTTATCACTCTTATCACAAAGCTGCAGGGAGTGTAGACCTGAAAGCTTTTAGACTCAGATAGGAAGAAAACATCATATCCTCCCCCATGGAGACTTTGTGGATGGATGTTAGATTCTTGCTAGCCCTCTTGTAAGTTGTAACTAACATAGGTTAGAGTTTTATGTGGTAAGGTTTCCCTGGACTGATATGTAAGCAGGGCTTGGAGAAGGCATATGGCCACATTTGTTAGAGTTTTATGGATTATATGTTGTTTATAATGGGTTTTGACGCAAAGAAGATGCAGTAGGCATGGAAATGTATATCTAAACCAATTTTTTCAATTACAATTAGTGGCATCCCGTGAGATTATTGTAGAGAAGATGGGCTGAATGGCCCATAGCACAGTTGTGTTGTAATTTTATGTTTATGTTTTGTTTTATTAATGGGCATTTTTCTTAGGGGCCTGTTAACATTAGCTTCTCTTGTTTAATTAGCTAGCCGCCCCACTAAGGGCTTACTTGCAATTTCCAATTATTAGTGATTAATTTTTTAATGAAAATTATGGAAAGGATAGGACGTACGAACAACACTTCTCTTTCACCCTTTCTTCTCAATCATTCTCTTCCTCTTCTTCTCTTCTTGCTGTCTCCTTTTTCTTTCTTCTTCTTTTAATCAGATTTCTTATTTCTTTATTTGGGACTGTTTTTCTTCTATTACTTTCCTGGAGAAAAGGGTCTTAGACAAGGAGACCATTGATCAATTCTCTAGCATAATTATCACCATATTTCATCACATCTTTCAAGGAATTCTCTAGCAGTTAGCATACAGCTGAGTTAGTCCTTTAGAGGTTTATATTTTCACCTATCACGAGCCTAGTTTCATAAGACTCCTTCCCTGTCTTTTTTTTGATGAATATAAGACCCCTTCCCTGTCCTACATCAACAGCATAAGTAGTGATAAAGTAGTGTGGGGGACTGCTCATAAATCAAGCATGATCTCTTTTTGTTTAAGTTCTTGCCTAGATAGAAGAAATTTGGGAAATTCTTAGTTCAAAAACAATATATTTTTAAATTAACATATTTCAGAATTCTTTTACATTATGCACTCAAATAACCAAAATGCTATGATATTTAAGCACAAAATTCTCAAATGCCTGAAATATACCATGTGCAATACAACTTCCAAGATAACCATGCTGTTACTTCCAGATGCCACTAGAACATATGTGAGTCTAATATTTTTTTCTTTTTTTTGATAAAAAACAGAATGTTTTATTAGATTATAAAAATTGTGAAACTTTGAGTACAAGAGAGGGGAGGCAAAATATCTTAACTCCCCAACAACAGAGAACAAGAAGGAAAGCTAAAAAGTGGCCCAAAACAAAGAATCCTTAAGCACCCCTTGCTTGGCTAACCCATCAGCCATGGAATTAGCACTTCTCTT